CTAATAAAAAATTATAAATTCTTTCATTTCCTAAAATAAATGTGATATCATTTAATAATTATGATCGTAATCATGAATCTATCAATTCCTTCAGATGAATACAAAATCATCTAATAATTATGATGGCCATAATAATTTACACTATCACTATTTTAATTAATAAATTGATGGATAATTTTATCATTAGAATCTCTATAATAATTTACACTATCACTATTTTAATTAAGGATAATTTTATCATCAGAAATGGATGAATAATTTTATTACTAGAATCAAAGAATAATTTTTTCACTAAAAGTGGTTAAATAATTTTACCACTAGAAATAGATGGATTATTTTACCACCCAAAGTTGATGGACACCTTAACTCACTAACCTACAATAAGTGGATCACTTACCAAAAGTGAATAAATACTTATAATTTACCAAAAGTTGATAGATACTTGTAACATACCAATACTTTTAACTCATCATAAGTTGATGAATAATGAAAAAGATAAAAATGGAAAGAAAAAAAAAGAATATAAAAAACATATTGTCATTGATGTGGCATGAAACACCAATAGTTATATATCTGTTGTACGTTTTGAATTTTATCAAATATCATCGAAAACTACAACATGTTGTGATGATTTTAGTCATGGCCAAGTTGATATAACACATCAAAATATTTATCACCCTAAAAGAGGAATTAATTATATGATTGGTGATGGAAATATTTATTATTAATTTTCTTGTCTTGAAAATGAAATTGATTATTTAATTGGTAATGAAAATATCTGAGAATGAACCTAATAGTAATTGGTATATTTTAATATAACTATATTGTGAATATGCTTTAATATGTTTTCATTATTTTTAAATGATATGTTCTTATTATGTATTTTAATTATATATTTAATGTTATTTCATATTAACTTGTAAATTTCCTATTGTATATATTTTTATTTCATTGAAAAAAATATGGATATTCATATTATTAGATCTAAGATCTATGGTATAAATTATAATTGCTATTTCTTTTAAATATGCATAAATTTTAGTAATTCATGAGACAAGTCATAAATTTATCTGGTTAAGATTTATAACTCAACATATTCGAGAAATGTGTGGTTTGTCAACTGAGAAAGAAATTTCAATAACGTTATATGAGGATAATACTGCTTGCATGATATAAATAAAAAAAACGATACATTAAAGGCGATAAGATAACACATCAAAATTCTTCTTCACTCATAATATCTAAGAAAATGGTGAAATTAGTATTCAACAAATTCAGTTAAGTGACAATCTAGCATATTTGTTCGCTAAAACCCTTTTTATTGCAACATTTTGAAAAGTCGATATAAAATATTGGAATGTATCATTTTAAAAAACTTTATAATGTAGTTATTAGGGGGAGTAGAATATGTATTGTACTCTTTTCCTTTATTAAAGTTTTTTCCACTAGTTTTTCTTGATAAGATTTTTACTGAGACAAGATTTGAAAAGTATATTCTTAAAAAGAATTATGTATTTTTTTTCTTTCACTCGGATTTTTTTCCCGTGAGGTTTTTCCTTATAAGATTTTAACGAGACGTATTCTTAATACAATGGACATTCAATGAGGAGTGTTATAAATAAATATGTGAATGTCTATTATATTATGACTCAAGAAGTACAGACCAAGTCAAACAGACAAGATACGAGAAACAAGAAATGTAATATTATTTGAACTCTTAGATAAAATTAGATTAGGACTATGATTCAAGGGATTGTTGACCTATAAATTGGTCCCTCACTTCATTTATAAATACACACTTGAATAAAATTTTATTACTCTCTCTAAATACTTTTTTTCTTCTCGTTCTTATATTTTTCTTATAATAGTTATTTTAAGATTTATTTTATAATATTTTTTAAATTAATAAAAAAAGAGCATTTTAATCATTTTCATGTTCTCTGTTAACGATATTCACACTTTTAAGATGAAGTATTTATTTTGAAAACTAATGAATCCATTTGAAATTTTGATTAAAATTTAAAAGTGGGGTATTGTACCCTATTTTTTATAATGAAAAACTAAAACATAAATAAATTATATATATTAATAAATTTAAATCAAGTTTAAAATATTATTAAAAATAGACTTAATTAAATAACTAATTATACATAAATGAAAATTTTGATGATATCTCCTCACAGTCAAGCGATCCCCTTTTTGAACTTTTTAATTAAAATTTTACTTGTCTATATTTTTATTGTATGAAATTTGGTTTTATAACCTTCATTTTCAAATGAAAAAATATTTTTTAATAATTAAATCAGAAAAATAATTTAAATAATAAAATTTGGAATTTAATACTTAATAATTTGTAAGGAAGTAAATTATATATATTATTTTAATTATTTTATTTGATTTTCAGGTGATATTATTAATTAAAATTCTATTTTATTGATGCTGCTATTTGTTTTTTTATATTTTGTTATTTGCTTTTTGCTTTTTCTTCAGTTTTTATAAAAAAACAAATAATAAATAATAAAAACATTAAATAAATGGAGTGTGAATATTATTTTGTTGTATATAAAAGATGCATAAAAGTATGGACGTTGAAAATTTTTGATTAACATTATATTTCTAAATTTTTTATTTTAAATATTAATAAATTTTATCCAAATTGATAAAAATTCTAATTGTATTCAATAAATTTTATTTATAAATTAATATTACACTTATTTTATAGGAATCAAACTTCTGCATTGTATATGTAATTTTTATTTTAAAATAAATAAAAACTAAATACTGTTGCATTTGACAACAAATATTTGTATATATATAAATGCAGTTAACCGAATTGGTTTATATATATAGAGAACATGTTGGTAGATTTTTTAAGAAAAGGGAAATTTTTTTTAAAAAATAAAAAAATTAAAGACATAATATTCAAAAAATAAAAAAATCAAATATTTTTTTTTCTATTACATTCAATCAAATTCTTATACTTTTATTTTGATAAAATAAATTTTTATAATTAATATTTGTATTAATTAGTCATAAGTTGAAATACCACCAAATAAGCTTTTATAAATACTTTTTACTTTGATCAAATAAGTTTTGTATAATCAATAATTAATTAATTATCATTAATTGAAATACCATTTGTCATTTTAAATTAACACGATGTTAATGCGGATGATGAAAAACGCCTATTATATTATATCATATCAGTAGATCACGTCATTTTTCAATATGACATATCAACATAGCATGTGATATAAAAAAATTTATATGATTCAAAATAAAAGTATATGGATTTATTTAAATGTAATAAAAAAATTTATTTAAAATTTTTTGAATAATTTATAATTGTCTTAAATATTATTTTTAAATTAGAAGACATAAATATCTCTAATTTAATATTTGATGTTATGAATTATTTTGATTTTGTAGTAGTTTTGGTAGCTGAGTTAATATCACTTAATGCCTAGAACCAAACTTAGCAATTTACTTTATATAATTAAGATAATATATATTAATTTTAGTACATAACAAAAAATTAATGAAAAAAAAAATATATGTAAGCTCAACTTTGAGCAAAATTTACAGTTATTTTTTTATTTTTTAAATTACATTTAAGCACGTCATTGATCCCAAAAATAAAAGCACATATTTTTAGAATAATGTAGACTAAATATATGATTATTAATTAAAAAATAAAGTAAAAGATTGGGACTTTAAATTTTTTTTTATTTTTAAAAGGAAAATTTTGAAAATAAGCAAACAGTGCATTGAATTCCCGCTAATTAAACCGATTTAATTAAAATGTGCCAAATGGATGGGTGATCCAGGATAACACATAATATCCGTGCTTTCAGGCTATAATCCTACCACTTGCCAAGCATTGCTGCCGACTTTTTCCTTTTTTTGTTTTTTACCCGATTATTCTTTCCTTTAGATGATAAAATATTACCCTCCATAATCCATTGGAATAAAGATTATCCGATTAATTAATCATAATTATTTTAATTCATAAATTAATCGTTTGTTTTGTTTTTCCATTAAAAGAAAGGTTGGTTGTTAGGGATATGTTTTTGAATGGATTTAGTTATAAAGATTTACTTGAAACTTTCATAAAAATCTATTTTAATTTAAACTTTTTTTATTAAAACAATTAATTTTGGTAATAGAAAAAAAGTAAAAAAAAAACTTAAGTACTAAAAGGGTAAATTAAGTAACTCATAATATACAACATATATCTTTAATTGTAAACTAAGTAAAAAAATCAAATTTAAATTATTAACAATATGAATGTAAAAGTGTGTTTTTTAATTTAAGGAAAAAAATTCAAATCTTGCTTTTTATATTAAGAATTAGGTATCAATTACTAAATTAAATACATATGACATAATATTTAAAAAAATTTAAATAAATCTTTATATTTTTATTACTAAGCAAGTTTTTATGTTTTTATTTTGAATCAAATAACTCTTTAAATTAATAATTAACTTAATTAAAATATCATCTATTATTTTATATAATGTGATGTTAATGTAACATATTAATATCTCATAATTGATGATGATGTGAGATATTAATTTAGCATGATAACATAATCACATAACATTTTTCATCCTCTGCATTAACATCATATTAGTATCATGTAAATATTAAATAAGAAATAATACTAGTTAATAATAATTAATTAATCATTAATTATATTAGATATAATTGAATGTAATAAAAAATAAAAATTTATTTAAAATTTTTAAAATAATTTAAATTTTTTTTGAGCATTATGTTCCTATATATATAATTAATATACGAAAACATATTTGGTTTCTTCCTTTTATACCTACTATTTTCATTTTATTTTATGTCATCAATTACCAAAAATAGGAATGTAGTTTAAAATAAGTTGAAAAAAAAGGGGGGAAAAGGTAAATTTTCCATTCACCGCCAGGGGAGGTTAGCCAATATACATAACCATTGAAATATTTCCAGCTATCCAAAATTCTGTTACTTCATACCCTCTCCACAGTCCCTCCGATTCCCGTTTTTCCCCATCCCCGAAATAACAAAAATGCCACTGTAGTCTGTGGTAGATTCTCTCAGATTCAGAGACGACACCCGCAGATCTCCTGCTGCACCGCCACCGATTGCCGTCGTTTATAGGTTTCGACGATGAAACTTCTCGGCAATGTCGATTTCCTCAAGAGCCCAACAGCGATCAAATTCTCGGCCTTCATTTTCATATCCGTTTCTTTCTTTTACTTAGGGAAACACTGGTCCGACGGTTCCCGCCAGCTCATCTTCTTCTCCCGCCAATCGCCTACTGGAACGACGCCGTCTTTGGCTACCATTGCTTATTCTCCTAATCTTAATAAAGAATTCAACATATCTGCTCTCATTAACACCACCGAACCGGAAACCGAACCGAAACCAGCGGGTTCAGTTAACAGCAAAGAAAACTTGGTGTCGGTGTCGGAGCCAGCTGCACCTCCTCCGCCGGATCGGATCAAGAGTTACGGGATCGTGGATGAGAATGGGACGATGTCGGATGAGTTTGAGATCGGGGAGTTCGACCCGGATTTGGTGGAGAATTGGGGGAACGGAACGGAGATTGAGGCGGAAACGGAGAAGGAGGCTGTTAGAGTTACGTTTAGGGTTAAGAAGTTTGGGCTTTGTAAAGAGAATATGAGAGAGTATATACCCTGTTTGGATAACGTGGAAGCCATTAAGAGGCTTAAATCGACGCACAGAGGGGAGAGATTTGAACGGCATTGTCCGGAGAAAGGAAAAGGATTAACTTGCTTGGTTCCGGCTCCGAAAGGGTACAAGCCTCCGATCCCGTGGCCTAGGAGCCGTGATGAGGTAAAGCGTTTTGTTTAATTTTGAAATATATATCGAAAAGGAAATGGAATATTGGATTTTTTTGTGTATTCTGCGTTCTTTATTCTTTATTTGGTTGTTAATTAGTATGGGTGAAACTGGGTGAAGTTACTTGGGCTCAGCTCCGTGAAATACATATGAGTATTTCTTTTTCATCTGAGTGTTTAGAAAGGATTTGACATCTTTAGATCTTTATGAGGAGTACAGCCTAGGTCGAGAAGAATGAATAAATGTAGTCAGGCTTAACTTGTTTTTTGGTTTGAGAATTGGGATGCAAGCTTTGTTTGGTGGAGCTAAGTTCAGTTGCTGAGAAGCAGAGAAATAGAGAGTATATGAAATTTGGAGTGTTATATTTTGGTGGTTTTGATTTTTTTTTTTCCCCTTTTATTGATGACGGATTAGAGGAAAAGAAATTCCTAGTGTTTTCTTTTCGCTTTTGCCCTTATTTTTCTTTTTGTGCTTTTGGAAGTACTTTTGGTTACTTGAAGGTTTGTTTTGAAGTAGTTCTTGTTGTTGGTTTATTCTTTCTCTTATTGGTAGCATACCTAGTTGTTTAATAGGATATACTGCTTCAATGGGTAGGTATGGTTCAGCAATGTTCCTCATACGCGTCTAGTAGATGACAAAGGTGGTCAAAATTGGATTGCGAGAGCAAAAGATAAATTCAAGTTTCCTGGAGGTGGTACACAGTTCATACATGGGGCGGACCAATACCTGGATCAGATTTCTAAGGTTATTTTAAACGTTTATATGATGCATGAAGATATCCAAGCAATTTGGTCTCTGCATTTTGTTTTTGATGATCTAGTTCTGATCTGTCTACCCAGATGGTCCCTGAGATTACATTTGGTAATCATATTCGAGTTGTTCTGGATGTTGGATGTGGTGTGGCAAGTTTCGGTGCATATTTGCTATCTCGGAATGTTATAACCATGTCAATAGCTCCGAAAGATGTCCATGAAAACCAGATTCAATTTGCACTTGAGCGTGGAGTGCCTGCAATGGTGGCTGCATTTGTAACTCGCCGCCTACTTTACCCAAGTCAAGCCTTTGATTTAATACATTGTTCTAGATGTCGTATCAATTGGACTCGTGATGGTAAACTTTTGGCTCATGTCTTATCTAGTTATTTTTGGTAGCAAAAATACTTAGAACTGATTCATAGTTTTTGTACATATTCCAAATATCATCTCCACATTAACTTTGGGCTTTGGCAACATTTATGCTCATTCTTTTGTGATCTTGTCTTTCTTTCCCTTTTCCAGAGAGGAAGTTCTTTCTTGACACTGGTTTCCTTTCTCTTTGCTGAAACCTTCTTTTTCTTTTTAAACACAAAAACACTTTTTCCCCTTTCTTGTTTATAGTTCATTAAAAATATTTATTTTTCAACATATGTTTCTAGGATATTCATTTTTCATGTTTTCTTCATTTACTGTCCTAAAATCAACTTGTGGGATATCTTCTGATCACATACTTCCTTTCTTATGCTTTGTAATGAAGATGGAATTTTGCTCCTTGAGGTGAATAGAATGCTTAGGGCTGGTGGATATTTTGCTTGGGCAGCACAGCCAGTTTACAAGCACGAAGAAGCCCTTGAGGAACAGTGGAAAGGTATAACTACTGACCTAAAATTCATGTTAAGCATGTCCAGCACTCATTATGCACTTGCAAGTTCAAATTTAAGTCATGCTAACATTTTCCTTTCATCCTGGTTGAGCATTTATTCTGTTTGTCTCATGATCGTTTAACCAAATGTGCTGTCTAGCAGTTTTTAGGAAATTATATATTAGATTTTCTGTAATAATTGTTTTCTGATCTTTTTTACAGAGATGCTTGACCTTACTACTAACCTCTGCTGGAACCTTGTAAAGAAGGAAGGATATATTGCAATATGGCAGAAACCCTTTAATAACAGCTGCTATTTAAGCCGTGAAACTGGGACCAGTCCTCCTTTGTGTGATCCAGATGATGACCCAGATAATGTTTGGTATGTTTGCCACTTGGCCTTTTATTTGAAAAATTATGCTTAATGGAATAGTATCATCAAACTGCCGCGGCTGATGTTTAGTTATATATGTCCTTATTCCCTGCATCAGAAGATGCACGAAGCATTGGCAACCATATAATTGTGTGCTTGGAGTTCTGGATACTTGTCCTTGCAATTTTGTACATTGCTTTTAATGATATGTACTATATAATAGAATAGGAAACTATCTGTTGCTTGAAAGATTTGTGCATATCATTGCTTTTTTTGAAAATGTATTGGAGTTCTGCCTAATAGTGAATTCGAGCATTGTTATTTTTATTGACTAACAACAGTATGAAATTGACCACTGGCATGATTTCACTTTTCTATTCATGAAAGCTGCGGAGTTATTTCTCTGGGTTTATCTGTGCCAAAATCTGTGTAAACATGCTTGAAGAATGTTGATTACATTTCTGATGGCTTTCATCAGTAACATGATGTCGAATTCATTTGTATATAACTTCATCAGTCTCCCTGGATTATTCTGCAAACCTGTTCTGAAATTTGGAGTTGATTTTTCTTGTCCTTGTTGTAGGCCTTAGGACCCTTTGCTGATTATTTAGGTCTTCCAGACTTAAGGGCGTGTATCTAAATTTTCTTTCTGGCTGATGTGAGTGTTTCAAATTACTTAGTCACAGGATCGCTGGATAATCTTTCAGGTATGTTGATCTGAAAGCATGCATCAGTCGACTTCCTGAGAACGGATATGGTGCCAATGTTGTTCCTTGGCCTGCTCGTCTGCAAACTCCACCTGACAGGCTGCAGAGCATACAAATTGATTCCTACATAGCTAGGAAAGAGCTTTTCAAGGCAGAATCAAAATACTGGAATGAAATAGTGGCAAGCTATGTCCGTGCTCTACATTGGAAGAAGTTTAAACTGAGAAATATATTGGACATGAGAGCTGGCTTTGGAGGGTATTTTATTAACCCAGTCTTGCACAGTACCATTAAGACACTTGTTACAGTATTTCTCAAATCTATGGTTTATGTATTTTTGTGCAGATTTGCAGCAGCCTTAATTGACAATCAACTTGATGCGTGGGTTCTAAATGTGGTCCCTGTTAGTGGGCCCAATACCTTGCCTGTTATTTATGATCGTGGATTAATAGGGGTCATGCATGATTGGTACTTTTTCTTTACCATAATTCCAATCAGGAAATTCTGCACAGTTGATAGGATTGGATTACAAATGGCTGTACATTTCATTGATGATTTTTAAATCATTACTTGGATCTTGGAATATTTATCTACACTGTCAAATAAATCCTTCCTTCCCGCTTTCTCTTTTTCTTAGTTTTTGGATTACTTTGGTTTAACCATTTCCGAGTTTCAAAATGTTGTGTGTTTAATATCTGTTGGTTACTCAGTCATCATATAGGCATATGATGCTGAGGTAGTCTAAACTCTATGTTATTGTCGTTACCAGTCTTGAACTGAGTTATAAACTAAGTTGTGTCTGATTTATATCAGGTGTGAACCATTTGATACATACCCAAGGACCTATGATTTCTTGCATGCAGCTGGCCTCTTCTCAACTGAGAGGAAAAGGTACACCTTAATTCCTTGATATGTGGTCTAATTTTTCTCAGCTAGTTGATAATTGTAGTTCTGATCATGTTGAGACATTGATTTTTGCTCCAAACAGAAGATTCCATTCACCACTTTCAGTGGTGAATTCAGTGTTCTTTTTTCTTTGACAATAAATATTCAAGGTCCAAGAAGTACTTATATTATAGGAAGAAAAGATGGGCGGGATTGGGATAGGTGCATTCTCACTCTGTATGATTTGGGAGTTTTATTACAAGGCAAAATGTTTAATAAATGGTTAGGTGTGGTTGGGTTATTGCTAATTTAATTATTCTTACTTTTATATCAGATGTAATATGTCCACAATCATGCTTGAAATGGATCGGATATTGAGACCTGGTGGACGAGTATACATCCGTGATTCTCTTGATGTTATGGATGAACTTCAAGATATCGCAAAAGCCATGGGTTGGCACCCATCTCTACGTGATACATCTGAGGGTCCTCATGCAAGTTACAGGATCTTGACATGTGACAAGCGCCTACTTCGTGGTTGAACCAATGGAAACTAAAAACTCAAGTTGCATATAGTTGGTGTTAACCAATGCGAATTGAAAAGCTAATTAGACAGGCTAATTGTCTCTTGTGCACGGTCATTCCAGTGTAAAAGAAAACAGGACGATTATTGAAATTTCAACTGCCACGTAGAGGATTAAATTGTTCATTCATTGACCAGGGGACATCAAATTCTTACAGTGGGTGAGAAGCCTGCTACAGGAAGATAAAGCCAGATATGAAGGGAAGCCTGATATCTTTCAGCTCCTTCTGTAACTTAAATGTAACATATATTTTGATACTAGGCAAGATTTTGTTTTATTCAGGGCAGTTGTAGGATCATTTATTTTATTTTTATTTTATTTCATTGGAATGATACAGGAAAATGTTAATTTTTTAAGTTAAAAGTAATCTCTATTCCCCTGTTCGAATATTTTGATTATGGTGATTCTTTTCCCTCTTGGTCTTTGGTATGTTAATCCAGCATGATGCAGCTAAGATATTTCACGGTTATATTTCACTTGTCAATGAAATACTACACTTGATGATATGCTAACTGAAGGTATGCAACGAAAATAGTTTTAGGTTTGAGGACATTGTTCACATTGAAAATGGAGTCAAACTTCACAGACTATACATATAATTTTAACCCTTTCTTCTTCAGCCAAAATACCGAAGTTTCAAGCCATACAGTCTATTTATCAGATTTAAGTCTCCACATCTGCCCTTGATTATGTTTTAGCTGGACAGGCCTTCGAGTGGCAAAACTGCCAGAAGAACTTTCCGGCCTCGCTCTCTGCAACTGAGCTTGCACTTGTGAGACTGAGGGTGTCAACTTCTGATACTGATGTGGTGGCCTGGGTCTATTTTCCACCCTTGTTTTGGGAAATTGAGATTGTACTCTTGAGGTTGAGGGCATCATCTGAGCTTGATTATGCTGCATTTGCGAGGTTGAGGGCCTTGAGATCCTGTACTGGTGCTGCTGCATTTGCAAAGGTGAATGCACAGCCTGGTGCACCTGTGGGCGTGTATTTGGGTAGTGCCCACCATTGTAGCTTGAGGAACTGACAGACTGTTGTTTTACAATAAATCGGAATGTTTTCGGCCTGACTAATGTAGGGAGGAGAGTACTTTGGGCCAGATTGGCTGAGATGAGCATACACCGAGTTGTCTCAAATGCTTCAGCTATCTGTATCAGTTGTTTCTGATTGACGGCTCTTGAAGCATTTTCTGGCTGTTCAAAAGGATCCTCGACCTAAACAAGAGTTATTATTTTCATCATTGTTGAAGCCATGATGGATTGCAAAAGCACTAGAGAGAGAGAGAGAGAATTACAAATATTGCATAAGTCCGGGGCAACCATCTCATATTGTTTGTTATATACTCCCACTGTCCCGTAAATGTGCAGATTCCCATCTCCGAGGCCTTCGAATTTATGTCTGAAAACTGCACAGATATTTATAAATTTAGCATAAATAACCAGTTCGGTGCTCCCATGGAGAACTGGTTTAGGGGATTTATTGTCATAAATGTTTATGAATATTATGTCCCATGGCATCAACAGGCAAGATAGATGAACATAACAGGAACCAATACCTTTGCAATGAAGGAAATGAACAACTCAGACAAAGAACTTCGATTTATGGTTCTGCCTGATTTAAACCTGGCAATGTTAGAAGAACATACTTGTGCTATACTTCTCTCTGCATCAGCTCTGACACCTGCATCAGAGAACAATTCCTATCAAATAATATTATTAATTTTTCTTTACATAAAACCCCTGCTAAAAAGTTCACATTGCAGCATATATTTTAACTGACTGACTGAGCTTAATTTCAATCAAACACTACCAAGATCCAACACCTTCATTTGGACCACTAATCTGAAAGAGCAAATAAACAAGAAAATCCAATAAAATTTTTGGAAAGAATCTCAGCTTAGGCCTTTCTCCGTATTTTGCTGACTTAGCTAAGATTAAAGATCAAAATACCTGTGAGATCAGTAACAACATTACGTGGATATATATCTTTTAAAGGAGGAAAAATTGCAGGTGCACATGTCTGCAAGAAATAGAAAACAAATGCAACGATTAACGAATAAGAAATATGGCCAATATTACACCAATGGAAAAACCAAGAAATACAAACGAGTATAAGCAGACAAGGAGAACTTTCTATAACCTATTGCCAGAAAAATACTCAAAAAAGGGGGTAACATTGGGGTCAGACTGATGGAATACAAAGATGACAACAGTATTCTTAAGTAAAACAATTGATTTTTATTAGGATGGGAAGGTATGCAAATGCAACAGAATGTTAGCAACAGTTGATTTGGTTTTATGACTCTTATAAGCAAACCAGATGCACCTAAACCACTTTTGGATGTATTAATAAATCACTTCCTTCTACAACTTTTCCTATGATTGATACCAGAAACAATTATAAAAGCCACCTGAAAATGGAAGATAACCAGCAAACTGAGGGAATATGAGTTGAATGTCCCAGTCTTTGGATTATTGATACCATTAGCACTGGCCCACTCCTTGACCTGCACAAACATGAATGGCAAACACGAGATATCAGAAATGTTCTTCTCCACAACAGGAAGTGTTGGTTGTCATAAGATATACCAGTAAAACCATCTCACGAAAGCGCCCATCTATCTCATTGAGCCAAAACAAGAATTTGGACTTTATTTGGCCCTGCAGATTATCGATGGAAATATCACAAGAGATGTTCTGCCATCTGCTCTCAATTTTCAAGATGGGAACTCTTGCATGGGGAATAAATTGTAATCTCTGCCATCCATCTGCAGATAAATGTTGTCTTGATAAATAGACGCACTCTCTATAGTGAACAATCAAACTTAAAGAATAGCAATGTACAGCCACCCACAAACCTCTCCAAAAAAAACTTTCTTTACTCCCCTCTTACGCATGCATGTTCAAGGATGATATGAGATGAACAAAGCCCATATGTTTTAACAAGAACATGAAAGCATGAAAATTATACTAAATCACCTTTTTGTTTCAAAGCTCTATGTAATTCACCAAGTAGAGTCTGTTTGCGTTTCTTTCCGGCAGATGAAACATATGAACCATAAGGTAACTCAATAGAAATGTCCAAGTCTCCCCACCTTGTGAAGAGATTAGACACAAATGATCCAAATGGCTCCACGGTTGCACCTGTTTCCACCAGTTATGCCAAGAATACACATTGTTATCACCGAACTCTTTAACCGATGAAAATTTTCAGTGCCATAATCAGCTAGAAATTCAGAAATGATATGCCAAAAGAAAACGAAGAGAAGGCTTGTTCATGTCATGTATCTTTTCAAGAGGCCAGACAATTCCTTTTCTCCCTAAGTGAAAGATAGGAAATGGGGGTAATTGCTGGACCTTTTTTTTTCTAATCAAGTTTACATGTCATACTTGCAGAAAAATCTCACCTTCCAAACCTGGGTTTTTTTTAGAAAAAAAAAAAAAAGTCCAAAGGTACCATGTAAGGTTGATCCTTCCACTCCAAAACTGGAATCTGGTGCTTCTTAGCTGAACTGATTATGGCCTGCTAATTCCATCGTGATGGGAAAATGTCAAACAACCATTCCGAGAAATGGACCTTGTTTAAGCCACTTATGAAAGGCCACTTTCAGATCAAAAGAGAAGGGAAAAAAGAACCATTATCATCTAAATATTCTCCAGGAAGCCAATTTCTCCTCCATGAGAATATTTCTTATTTCATAGTAAATGTAGGCAGCAGAAACATGTTCACTCGTTAGCCCCTCTGGTAAAGGAGAACATTTTGAAGCTTGTATAAGTTGAAATGATTTCCCTTTTGCAATTGTTTGCAACATTCCAACAGAAGGCGGCATTCTTTGATTCATCATGGAATGCAAAATGTAGTATTTCTATAGCCAATTGCATTCAATAAGCCTGCATATATATTTTATTCATATCTTCGTAGACAAATTATTGAAAATCTCTATTAGCATTTACATGGATCAAGCAAAATAAAGAACTAGACATCACCATTTAAAAGTAACATACAAATTACCTCTTAAACTTTCCATAGATTGAACAACTTCGCGCAATTCGTTAATGATCTTAAGCCGCGTGACACAATCCTCATGCAAGGGCTTGATCACTTCAAGTACTTCCTGGAGAGTTGACTCCACTTGACTATATGAATTCATCTCTGTTTTGCTATATAACAATATCACTGATAACACAAATTTGTTCTTTTAAGAAAACTCAAAGGTTATCATTGAAATATATAAAAAGAAGCCCTCAAAAGATCAATGGCAATAAGAATATGAGAATTATTCAGATAGTTAAAGACCATATGTAACAAAAAGTCATCTAATCCAAAACAAAATAAATTAAAAAATCTATATCTTTAGAAAAAAAAATAGGACACCTTTATTGACTTAATTATCACATTATATAGAAAATTCAGGCATGGACAAATCAAGTTGAGTCAAATGTACAACTAATAATATAAGAAATTAGATAAATGCAACTTGCAGTACATTAAAAGTGTAAATTCGAAAAGAATATAGATTTCATAATGAAAAAGAAATTTTGATTAAACCCAACCAATCAAAATCAATTATTTTAATTAAAATAATACTAATTTTGACCCCCAGTCATTTAAACAAACACTTAAAAGGCATAAATAAGCAACAAAATTTAAAAAATTAGAGAATTTACCTTAAAAAATCTAGGAAAATCAACTCCCTTTTATCCTGAACTTCTTGGGTTTTTCTTTGTTTGAGTGAATTGTTTCTCCATCAGATTTTGAAGGAAGCTGCACACTCAAAAAAGGCCAATTAAAAGAGACAACACCCAGAAATATTTCACATTGCCATATGTCATTATTGTTTTAAAATTAAAGATTAGGACTTTGTATATACGTTATTTCTGAATTCAGTAGTGTTTATACAGGAAAAAAAAAGTTGTTTTCTTTATTGGGGCTTGGTTTCCTTATGGAAGAGGTTATCTTTTTTATTATTTACTTTTTCGAAATGAAAGAACGATTGGGAGGACAAGCGGGAAAGTGAAAAATGGGGGACAAGACCAGTGGAGAGAGAGAGACACAGAGAGACTGACTGATGAGAGTCTGAGGAATAATCTTTCACATGAGTCAAGAGTCAATGATTGTGCGTTGCTGAGTAGGAAAGATAGAGGGAAGGTACAAAAGTTGGGTTTTTTTTCTCAGTCCTTGTTGGATCAAGACCTCAACTTTTGACACTACCTTGGGTTTGATTTGAATTTTGATATATAGTTTGGTTTCCAAAGCTTTCATGGGCTTTTGGCAGAGAAAAAAGAGGTGAATTGAACAAGCTTGGGGTACAACACACTAGAGTAGAAAGAGGAAGGGCACTGTCTTTACGAAGTAGACATTGGGATATTGCAATGGAGAAGCCTTTGTTTGTATCAAAGTC